TTTACACATCTGTGAAGTGGGGTTTCTAGTTCCTGTTCTGCTCCTTAGAGCTGTCAAGTGATGCTGCCAGTCAGTTTTTGCCCAGAAGGCTGGCAGCCCTAGAAGATGGACTCAGCCTTAAAGCAGGCCAGTGGTGCCCCTGGCCACCAAGGCCTCTGCCTGGCTCAAACGATGGCCTTGCAGCCCAGTCTGACAGCATGCTGTGGAGGCTGCAAAGCCGCTAACACAGTGTCAAATGTTGTGGGTGCCCATGAGCCTCTCAATCCACTGCCAGGTTGAGCCTGGGCCCCTTAGAACCTGGCAGGGGTAGGGGGCTGCATGTGAGTAGAGGTGGCGCTGGGGGCCTTGGGCAGAGGAGCATGCTCCCTGGGCCAGCTGGAGCGTCGGGATTGGTGCAGGGGGAAGCCCTAGGTTCCTGCTGGAGGAGGCCCAAAGCCTGGATAGGCTCACCACTGTGGCCGCATAGCTGACCTGCCAGACCTCATTTCATTGTCACCGTTCTCACAGCCTTCTCCATCTCGGATACTGGACCCATCTCTCGGATCCTCGGGGCCAAAGCCTGGAGTCACCCTGCCTTCCTCTTCCCTCAGCCCACACAGCCACCCACACCTCCATCTCCATGGCTACCACCCTGGTCCAAGCCCCTGTCACATCTCACTTGGACCACATACCAGTCTTCTGACCCAGCTAGATGTCTCCCCTCAGTTCAAACCCTCTGGTGGAATAAAGTCCTCAAGGCCTGTCACACTCTGGCCCCTGGTGGCCTCAGGACCCTCCGCCTCTCCCTTCCCGCTGGTTCTGTGAGTTCCAGCCACACCACCTGCCCTCTGTCCACTGAACAGGCCAAAGCCTGTTGCCAGTTCGTGCCTGTCCTCTGCTATGTCCTGGGCCTAGAATGCCCCTCCCTACCTGATGGCTGGCTGCCTCTCGTCACTCAGGTTTCAGCCAAATATCCCCTCTTCCGAGAGGCCTCACTGACCTACCCAGCTAAATCCTTGTCCCCTAGTCACCTCTGTCCCATTACTCTATTCTGTTCTCTTTGCAGCATCTTTTTTTTTTATCCTCACCTGAGGACATTTTTCTATTTTTTGTTCAGATAGAGTGGGAGGGAGGGAGGGAGAGAGAGAGAGAGAGAGAGAGAAACATTGACGTGAAAGGGACACATCAAGTGGCTGCCACCCGCACAACCCAACCAGGGCCGGGGACTAACTGTAACTGAGGTAGGTGCCCTTAGCGGGAACCGAATCCAGGTCTCTCTGGACCGCAGGCCGGTGCTCTAACTGCTGAGCCAAACTGGCCAGGGCTCTTTGCAGCATCTTTGTTGTCTGTTCCCCTGCCCCCCAAGTAAGTTCTATACAAGAGGCACCTCTTTTAACACCATGTTAGTAGCTTTATTTAGATATAATTCATATACCATAAAACCAACCCTTTTTAAAGTATACAATTTAGCCCAGCTGGTGTGGCTCAGTGGTTGAGCATCGACCCATGCACTCAGAGGTCACCAGTTCAATTCCCAGTCAGGGCACATGCCCAGGTTGTGGGCCAAATCCCACATGCAGGAGGCGGCCAATCGATGTTCTCTCTCATCGATGCTTCTATCTCTCTCTCTTTCTCTCTCCCCCTTCCTCTCTCTCCAAAATCAATAAAGAAAAAAAAATTTTTAAGTATACAATTCAGTGGTTTTTAGTATCTTCACAGAGTTGTGCAACCATCACCCCAAATGAAATCCTGTACCATTAGCAGTCTCTCCCCATTCCTCCCAACCCCTGGCACCCACTACTCTGCTTTCTCTCTACAGCTCTGCCAGTTGGCATTTGTATGTTTGTTTTAATCCCGGGGATATTTTTCCATTTATTTTTAGATAGAGTGTAAGGGAGGGGGTGGGGGAGAGAGAGAGAGAGAAACATGGATGTGAGAGAAACACATTGATTGGGTGCCTCCTGCACGACCCCAACTGGGGCCAGGGATCGAACCTGCAACCCAGGTACATGCCCTTGACTGGAATTGAACCCACGATCCTTTGGGTCCGACGGCCAACTCTTAACTGCTGAGCCAAACTGGCCAGGGCTGGCATGTTCGTTTAAAAACATCTGCTCAGTGGTTAGAGCCTGCGGACCAGAGAGACCCTGGTTCAGTTCCCACTAAGGGCACGTACCTCGGTTTCAGTTCTTCCCTGGGGGTCGTGTGTGTGGCAACCAATCGATGTGTCTCTTTCACATTGATATTTCTCTCTCTCTTCCTCCCTCTCTCCCTCCCGCTCTGTCTGAAGATAAATGCAAAAATGTCCTCAGGTGAGGATTAAACAAACAAACAAAAAACATCTCCTGTTGCCTGGCCAGTGCCGCTCAGTGGATCGAGTGTTGGCCCATAGAGGTCCCGGTTCAATTCCCGGTCAGGGCACATGCCTGGATCGTGGGCTCAATCCCCCTACTAGGGGGCATGCAGAAGGCAGCTGATCAATGCATATCTCTCAATCGATGTTTCTATCTATCTCTCCCTTCCTCTGTAAAAAAAAACACATTTCTTTAAAAACATCTCCTGTTAACCAATGTCACCCAATACATTTAATTTTAAAAATAATAAAATAAAACATCCTTAAATCCTCAGTACCCAGTGCTGAGGATGGGTTGGTCATATCCCACATTTTACAGATGAGAAAACAGGCTCAGGGCCCTGCAGGAAACTGTCCCTTTTCCAAGCCTTGTGTTTAGTGTCTCCCCAGAACTGGCTACACTGGGGAGGGTGGACGCCCGGCAGGAAGAGAAGCAGTGAGGCGTGGGCATCCAGTGGGGAGTGCCCTGCTCAGCTACCTGCTGAAGCCCACACTGGGAGGTTACTTTTAGAAGCAGATCTGCAGAGAGTGTAGCCTAGTTCTGGGGAGACACTAAACACAAGGCTTGGAAAAGGGACAGTTTCCTGCAGGGTCCTGAGCTTGTTTCTCACCTGTAAAATGCCCTCGGTGCTGGTGAGCTGAGTTCAACTCTATGCCTGGCCTGTGCCAGGGATAGACCAGCACCACCCTCCCACCAGGAAGCAGGCCAGGCAGGTGAGGGCAGGGTCCATCCCAGGATCTGGACACCCAAGAGGGTTGAAGGCAGATAGCGTGGGAGGAAGGCCAAGTCAGGGGCAGCGAGGGGCTGTGTAAGTCCAGGCTCCACATTCGGAGCTCTGTGACTTTGGGCAAGTGACCGCACCTCTCTGGGACTTCCTTTCCTCATCTATGGATGATACCCATCCTTGGGTCCCTCAGGGTTGCTGTGAGCCTATGAGCCCGTGGATACACCCATCAGAGCATGGTGTGCCACATGTGGGTGCCCTCCCTTCAGACCCTGGGCCCCAAGGAGCCAAGGCTCAGGAAGGCTGGTGGCTGTCAGAGGCTGAGTGGGGGCCAGAGCTAGCGTCAGATTTCCTAACCCTTTGAAGCCTGTCTCTTCAACTGTAAAAGGGGTTTAATAACCATTCCTCCCTCCCTGTGAGTGTTGAAGGCTGGGGATGTGCAGTTATCAGCACCCTCTGGGCCTCAGACAGGGAAACCAGACAGGCTCCCTCCCAGGGCTGCTCTCATCCTGGCCCCTTTCATCTTAGGCTTAATTAGCCAGGCCACCCAACCCCACCCACCCCACAGCCTCTTGAGCGGGAGTCATCACTCCCATTTTATAGATGGAGAAACTGAGGCACCTAGAGGGAAGTGGTTTGCGGCTGCCGCCTGTGAGTCAACTGTGGAGCCAGGGCCCAGAGGAGCTGGGACTGGGCTTTCCCGCTGGACCTGTCTTTGTGGTGGATCCTTGTCTCCATCCCCTGGCACCCAGATAGCCTCTTTTCCAGCTACCCCACCACTTCCTACCTCCTCCCATCTGGAGGGCAACAGGATGGGGTAGGGAGGGAGGGACCTGTGAAACCTGGAGGAAGGAGAGAAACTAGTTGGCAGCTGCTAGCATGGGGGCTCAGGTCTGTTTCATCTTCAAAGCTGGCTAATTAGAGCCAGAGGCTTAGGTCAGCGGGCTGTGGGGTCTGGATGCTGCAGTTCTGTGCCCTGGAAACCTGCAGTCACTGGGGCATCAGTAGCCTGGGCCCTGAGCCCAGAAGAGGCTACTAGGGAAACCCCTGGCCCAGCTCCCTCGGCGCCCCCAAAAGCCTTGATCCAGCCCTCTGGAAGTCAAGAGTGCTGGGTTACTGCACTGCTTGGTCCCAGGTCTTCCACCGCCAGGCCTCACTTTCCCGGTCTGTGCTAGGTGTGCCGGGCCATGACCCCGTGACACGCCAGGCCCTGCCAGTCCGCACATCTGCATCCCGTTGTTCTCAGCCTTCATCACGGTTTTTGGTCTTGTTCCTTCAGCTTTACCCTGGCCTGCCAATCGGTGCCGCATAAGGCAAAAGTCAGCAGCTTCCTCCCGCCTTGACCCGGGCGCCGGCTCCGCGCCCCAAGCCGAGCGGGTGGGGGGCCCGGGCCGGCGTCAGAGAAGCGAAGCCAAGCCCTGAGGCGCCCGCCCGACCGGTTCGGCCAGGGCTGCGGCGCGCGCTTCCTGCGGGTGCCCTGGGACCGCACTTCGCACCCCCCCCAGCGGCCGCTCTGGGAGCGCGAGGACCCGCACCCTACATCCCCAGGGACGCGCGCGGCTGGGCGGGGTGCGGTGCGCCCGGACGCCGGCGGGGGCGCGCTGGTTGCCACAGTCGCCGGCCCAGCGGTCGCCGTCCACCCGAGGGCCCCCGGACCGCAGCTTGCGCGCGGAGGACCGCGGCATCTGGCAGCGGGGGCCACCCAACTCCACCGCCTCTGCCCCGGCCTGGGGCGGTTTCGGGGAAGGGGGGCCTGCGCGCCGCGGAACAGTTACTCAGCCCCAGCGAAACCAGCGAGTCGGCACCTGCCGGCGGGGGTGGGAGAGGAAGGCGGCGGCCCGTTACCGCCTCGCCCTGCCTCGTGCGGGGCCGGCCCGCCCGGCCCGGCCTCCCACGCGCTCCGAGCCCCGCCCCGCGCAGCGCGTCCCGCCCCGCGCCGCCCGCCCGGAAGGAGCCGGCTGGCCCGAGCGCTGGCGGCAGCTGAGTCAGGCGAGGTAAGCGCGACTGGCCCGTTACCGCAGGCGCTAGGGACCGGGGCGGCGCTGTGGTTTCGGTGCCGGCCGCGGGCGGGCGAGCTAATGAGCTCTCGGCACGCACCCCGCGTGGGCGGCCCGCCCCGGCTCTTCCGCGTTTCTGCCCCCCGGGGATCCTGGCGGCCCGCCCCGGCGTCTCCCCCGAAACCTCTCGGTTTAATCTGGGGACCCAGGCACGGGGTCCGCGCTGACGTGTGCGTGTAGCCAGGGGTGGCTGAGATCTGTAAAGGGCTCTAGGTGACGACGCCTCCTCCGGGTTTGGCTCGTCTCGCGGCCACCGGCCTGATGTCCCCTCGCTCCTTCCTGCAGTGACCCTCGTGCCTGACCATGGGGGTCCTGAGCCGGGAAACCTGGACCCAGCGCCTGGGCGCCTTCCGGGCCAGCCCGTCCACCTTCATGGCAGCTTCGGAAGGTGAGGATCTGGGTCGTCACCTGCTGAGCGACCTGAGGAGTGAGAAGCTGAGCGAACTGACCAAGGTAGGCTCTAAACGCCTGCCCTGGCCCATGTGGTCACCTCAGCCCACTGTGCCCTGAACTCCATCTTCTCCACATCTCCCATCCCCAGGTTTCCTTGCTGGCCTTGAGCTTGGAGTACCCAACCCAGCTGTGGCCAGACGCCCCTACAGCTGAGGCAGCTGCCACTTCCCTGTTGGACACCCTGGTCCTTCTACCCCCACGGCCATCAGCTCTGCGGCGGCCCCTGTTGCTGGCAGCAACCACAGCCCTGGTGGCAGGAGGTGCGCTGGGTCCCACCTCCACAGCCTCCCACCGGCTCCTGCCCTTACTGCTTGGCTTGGCTTCCGGTGGCGATCTGGGGCGAGGCTTTGGCCCCTCCTCCGAGCAGCGGCCCCTACGGGCCACTGCGTGCGAGTGCCTGCGGGAACTGGAGAGCTGCAAGCCTGGGCTGCTGGGGGGCTGCCTGGGGCTGCTGCGTGGCCTGCTGGGGCAGGAGGGCCCGGTGGCCCCTGTCCAGCCACTCAGCTTGCTCCTGGCACTTGCCCTGCGCAACACCTTGGTGATACAGGCAAGGGCCAGGGCCAGCCTGCAGGGCCTACTCACGGTCAGGGCCTTTCCCACTGAGGGTGATCCATGGAACTGGACACTGGCTCAAGAGGGTGATGCCCACCTTCAGCCACAAGCGCCAAGTTGGTCGGCAGCCGAGGAGGAGTGTGACCTTTCAGCACTAGAGCCCAGTCCTGAGGAGGCCCGGGAGCTGCGGGCTACAGTGGCCCAGCTTCTGGACACCTCTTACCTGCTCACTCCTGTGGCCCAGGCCCAACTTCTGTGGCTGCTGGGCTGGGCCCTGCGGGGTCTGCGGGGACAGCCCCCAGTGCTCTTCAAGCCACAGTTGGTACGGCTGCTGGGCACAGCACAGCTGACACTGCTGCATGCTGTTCTGGCACTGAAGATGGCCTTCGGGGAGGCACTGTTCACAGCCCAGGACGAGGCCTTGTTGCTCCGCCGGCTCACCTTGGCTGCACAGCACCCAGCCCTGCCCCTGCCTGCCCATCTCTTTTACCTGCACTGCCTCCTGAGCTTCCCGGAGAACTGCCCGCTGGGCCCCACAGGTGAGGAGTCTGCCCCACTCCTGCTAGAGCCCCAGCTGTGCCGTGGCCTCCTACCCAGTCTCCTTCACGACCCAATGGCCCTCCTGGCCCGCCTGCATCTGCTGTGCCTGCTCTGTGCTGAAGACGAAGAAAAGGAGGAGAACGGCCAGGGTCACAGCCCCCGGCACTACTTGGAGGAGCTTCTGGCCGGCCTGCGGCAGAGGGCAGCCCTGAATGGGAGCCCCCGGACCTTGGCTACACTCTGCTTCCAGGCCTCTTACCTGGTTGCTCACTGCCTGGCCGGGCAACCTGCATTGCTGACATCCTTAACCCATGGACTGGCCCACCTGTACCGATCCCGGCCTGCACTGGCTCCCCATTTTGTTGACCTCTTGGATCGGGTGGGCCCTGAGCTGGGGGAGCCTCTTAGGGTCGTGTTGCAGCAAGAGGTGGTATCCAGGCCCAGTGAGGATGAGGCCCTTCGTTGGCACCTGCAGATGCTGGCAAAGGTGGCAGATAGGGATACCCAGAGAGCCACCCTCAGCTTCCTGCAGGCTGCAGCTGCCCACTGCACGGACTGGGGCCTCCAGCAGGCCTTGCTGCAGGTCTGCCGGGCCCTGCTGCGGGCGGGTGTTGGGGAGGGCCTGGCGGACTTGCTGCAGACATTGGCCAAGCAGCTGGACGACCCTGATGGGCGGGACCACGCCCGCCTCTATTATATCCTCCTGGGCCACCTGTCAGGGCCCAAGCTGGGGGTGGCCCTGAGCCCCTCATTTGCTGCACCTGCACTGGCCTCTTCACTGGTGACCGAGAACCAGGACTTTGCCACGGTACTGATGGTGCAGGAGGCCCCAGCCCCAATTCGGCTGAGTGTGGGGCCCCAAAGGGTTGAGGGCCCAGTCCCAGTGCTGCAGCTCCAGGTGGAGGTGCTGGAACCAGTGTACTCTCTGGAGCTTCGCTTTCGAGTGGAAGGACAACTCTATGAACCCCTGGGGAGTGTCCATGTGCCCTGCCTATGCCCTGGCCGCCCCGCTCGCCCTCTGCTCCTACCCCTGCAGCCCCGGCGCCCAGCCCCTACCCAACTGGATATCCGTGCTCTTTATACCAAATCCACTGGCCTCACGTGCTATGCCCGCCTGCCACCCCTGCCTGTGAAGTTCGCTGACCTCTTCCAGCCTTTCCCCCAGCCCCCTGAGGGGGCCAGGCTGGGCTTCTTTGAGGAGCTCTGGGACTCCTGCCTGCCAAAGGGCACTGAGAGTCGCCTGTGGTGCCCTCTTGGGCCACAGGGTCTGGAGGCCTTGGTGTCCCGCCACCTGGAGCCCTTCGTGGTGGTGGCCCAGCCCCCCATTAGCTATCACATAGCCATCCGCCTGCCCCCAGACTCAAAGCTGCTGCTGCGGCTGGAGGCAGCGCAGGCGGACGGAGTGCCGGTGATCCTGCGGACTGATGACTGGGCTGTGCTGCCCCTGGTGGGGAACTACCTCCGGGGGCTGTCGACTGCTGTCTGAGCCTGGGCCAGGCCAGGTGGGAACAGGACTGTGGCCCTTGTAGGGACTTGTTAAGAGGGGCAGCTGAAGAGCAGGACACAGTCCTGTGGCTCCTTTCTGTAAAAACCTATGTTCACCAGTGACCCTCATGGTTTGTTTTTTTCTGGTTCCTAATTAGGAGCAGAACCACTGGGATGGGGGTCAGAGGCTCCCAGAAGGCTCCTAGAGTAGGAACCCCCAGACTGCGGGACTCCAAAGTTCCTTCCTATCTAAATAGGCTGGGGTTCTCCGGAATCTATGCCCAGGAGGCAGGAGAGAAAGCCCTCATCTCTGCTCCTCAGAGGGTCTGGTCTTGCCCAAAGCCACCCAGCAGTTTAGGAATGAGCCTGGAGCTGGCTTGGTCCTCCTGACCTGTGGGCCAGCGCTTTTCAACCTGAGGTGTGCAGAGTCCCTGCCCCTGGGAGCTTAGGCTAGAAACACCGGGGAGGTTTCAGTGGCCTCTTCCCTGGGGAGCAAGGCTCCACCAGGCTGGGATTGGAGTCAGCTCTAGGAAGGGCCTGCTAGCGAGTATGGTTTCAGGGCTGAGGGCAGACAGCAACACACGGTCTGGTCAAAACCAAGCTGGCTTTTTTCACCCCATCTGGGAAACCCCACCAGTGGACCTAGGAATCTTCCCAGGTAAGAACCAGCTCCCCCAGTTCTCATTCCAGATATGTAAGATACTCAGGATTCCGATGTATTAGGCCAGCTCTGCCGCCAGGCACCAGGCTGGTGTTTTCCATATCCGTTGCTTCACTTGATCCTTGCAACAGCTCGGTAGGGCCCCACAGAGGAGGAAACCTGTGAGCCAGAGGGGTCAAGTGGTTTTCCACTGGTCGCCCAGCTGGCTGGTAATCATGTTTTGGGTTTTTCGTGTGTTTTTGGTTTTTTTTTTAGTTCTCATCTGAGGACATTTTTTAATATTTTGTTCAGATAGAGTGGGAAGGAGAGAGAGAGAAACATTGACATGAAAGGGACACATCGAGTGGCTGCCACCCACACGACCCAACCAGGGCTGGGGACAAACTGCAACCAAGGTACGTGCCCTTAGCGGGAACCGAACCCGGGACTCTGGACCACAGGCCGACGCTCTAACCGCTGAGCCAAACTGGCCAGGGCTTGTGTTATTTTCTAATTGTTGACAGTAACTGAGTTTTGTCACTCCAGAGCAGATTTCCCTTACCAACCATGAGAGCAAAGCTCTGCACAGGCCACGGGGACAGAGTCCCCACCCTCTGCTCTGGGCCAGCCCTGGAGGCCACAGGAGTAGCAGTCAGCAATGCCAGGTGGAGAATGACCAGAGGCTTGGGACTTCTTGTCCTGGGAGAGGGGCCTCTTCTGCCATCCCTTAATCCTTTGCTTAAGATTAAGATAATTGGCCCATGTAAAGACTCCCCAGCCATCCTTTCATCCATCCCTACCCATCCTGCCTCCGTCCCATTCTATCCACCCATTCGCATAGTGCTGGGCACCAGGTGACCTCACCCCACCCCACACCTCCACCAACTGCAGTGGGCATTCTTACAGACCTATGGGACAGTTTCTCTAGGATACATACCAGGAACAGGATTGCTGAGTTGTAGGGCATGTATGTTTTCATTTGACTAGGGGAAGTCAGAGTACAGTTACTAGCTTTGCATCCTTAGTATGCAAACAAGCAGCATCTGGCCCCAGTGAGCCCCATACCTCTCGTTAAGTGGTCCCAGGCCTGGCACTAGAAGCAGCCAGCCTTGGTTCACAATTTGGCTTTTCCTGGACACCTCCAAGCCCAGCACAAGAAGCAGCTATCTGCAGATCACTGTAGCTTATGCCTGGTGGCCCTGGTAGAACACAGGCAGAGGCTGACCTTGCCCCAGAGCCAGCACACCCAGTGGACAGCTTCAGACCACATTGAAGCACCACCACCAACCACCTCCACAAGTGACATACTCAATGAGTGGACTCAGTGGGGACCAGAGCCCTGCTGAAGTAAGTCTTGCTCTGTGTGTTGGGCCCCTACATAGCTGATCCTCCACGGGAGTCAGAGGCCAGTGGTCAGTGGGCACAGCCAGTCCTTGCAGCTGATCAGCCTGAGTAAATCCCTCCCACTGACATGCCAACAGCAGTCAAGACTCAATTACAACAGAAGAGTGTACTGTCCACACTAGGGGTGCACCTCGAGAGCCCAGCTGGGGTGATCAGGAAGGCTGTGCCACTGGACCCTACAGGACACCTACAGCAACAGGCCACCCTGTTGAAAGCATAGAAGACATAGCAACTCTACCTAATACATAGAAACAAACACAGGGAAGCAGCCAAAATGAGGCGACAAAGAAACATGTCTCAAGTGAAGGAACAAAACAAAATTCCAGGAAAAGAACTAAACAAAATGGAGATAAGCAGTCAATCAGATGAAGAGTTCAAAACACTGGTTATAAGGATGCTCAAGAAACTTAGTGAAACTTTCAAAGAACTTAGTGAGACCTTCAAAGAACTTAAGGAGAACTCCAAGGAACTTAGAACATCAACATCAAAAAGGCCCAATTAGAAATGAAGGATGCACTAATTGAAATAAAGAATAATTTACAAGGAATCAATAGCAGAGTAGGTAAAGCCAAGAAGCAAACCATTAATTGGGAATATAACGAAGCAGAAAACACCCAATCAGAACAGCAAAAAGAAAAAGCATCAAAAAAAAAAATGAGGGTAGTGGCCCTGGCCGGTTTGGCTCAGCGGTAGAGCGTCTGCCTGCAGCCTGGAGAGACCCGGGTTCGGTTCCCGCTAAGGGCTTGTACTTCGGTTGCAGTTTGTCCCTGGCCCTGGTTGGTTGTTCAGGTGGCAGCCACTCGATGTGTCCCTTTCACATCGATGTTTCTCTCTGTCGCTCTGTTCCTCTTTCTCCCTCCCTCCCACTCTACCGAACAAAAAATGGAAAAATGTTCTCAGGTGAGGATAAAAATAAATAAATAAAAAATAAAGGACACCCTGCTGACGCATTGTTAAGCTTTGTCGGCAGAGGGCGCAGAGGAGCCATTGCAGAAGGGCATTTTCCTTCCTCAAGCGTCTGACTAGGTAATCTCAAACTTGCTGGTACCCAAGTGTCCAAGAGCAGCAAGCAGCTAGTCAGTGCTCATGGCTTCCCCAGCACCAGGCTCCTGCAGTGCGTGACAACCAGCAGTACAGCAGACAGCCCCTGCACCCCAAACCCCGCAGGAATTATTTAAGCTAGCTAACCCTAAACTGTTTACCTAACCCCACCGTATCTTTCCATCAGAAGCCCCAATAAACGCTGTGGCCTATACTGTCCCCTTTCTTCTTCCTGCCTCCGACCAACTCCAGTGCTTACCCATGTGGTTTTGCCATGCCACTTGTCTCTGGGGGGGACTGTAAGGAACTCTGAAGTTTTCTTTCAATGGCATTGACTTCTCTGTGCCATCCCTGGGTCATCTCTATAAATTAAAATCCATGGGTACAGTTAGGACAAGGACAACTGTCTGAAACTAACTAGCAAGGTCTTGTCTCCCGGTGGGTGGCATAACTGAGTCTTCAATAAGCACTCCACTGTTTATTCAAGCCTGCTGTTCTGGGAGAAACACCCACGGCAAGGCCAGTGATGCCCATGGTTCTGGTCCCATCACTTCTTTTGTAACCAAAAGAGTTACCACACTAGGAAGCTATACTGTGGGGCAGAGTGGGGGAGTGGGGATACTGCCATGAAAATATTGGCTGAAAAAAGAAAAGAAAATATTGGCTGGGGCACTATTGTCAGGGAAGACAACACCATCCAGAAGCAACAAATGCTGCCACTTTCATAATGGAAGAGATCCGATGTAATCACTCTGAAACTGAGTGGCTGGCTGGTCTCTTGGGTTATATTCTGCTGTTTTGGGAGCTCAATAGTGGTCTCTCCTGGACATTAGACTTTTATCTGTGGCAGTAGTTAGAGCTGCCTTGCTGAGGAGAAACTCATGTTGAGCTCGCCACGTATCACTTTTATCCCTCACCCATGATGACTTCTTTACTGATTTTAGGGAGAGAGAACAAGAGACACATCCATCAATTTGTTGTTCCACTTATTTATGTAATCACTGGTTGCTTCTTATATGTGCCCTGACCTGAGATTAAACCACAATCTTGGAGTATCGGGACAGTGCTCTAACCAACTGAGCTATCCGGCCATGATGACTTATTTCATGAGCCTGTTGGACAATGATAGGAATGATTTGGAGAGAAAGGTGCTGCTGCCCTGGCCGGTTTGACTCAGCAGTTAGAGCGTCGACCTGCGGCCCAGAGAGACCCAGGTTCAGTTCCCACTAAGGGAACGTACCTCAGTTGCAGTTTGTCCCCGGCCTCGGTTGGGGTTGTGCGGGTGGCAACCACTCGATGTGTCCCTTTCACATTGATGTTTCTCTCTCTCTCTCTCCCTCTATCTCCCTCCCATTCTATCTGAACAAAAAAAATGGAAAAAATGTCCTGGGGTGAGGCTTAAAAAAAAAAGAGGTCCTGGCCGGTTTGGCTCAGCAGTTAGAGCGTCGGCCTGTGGACCAGAGTGTCCTGGGTTCGGTTCCCACTAAGGGCATGTACCTCGGTTGCAATTTGTCCCTGGCCTCAGTTGGGGTTGTGCAACCACTCGATGTGTCTCTCTCATGTGGATGCTTCTCTCCCCCCACCCCCCTCACTGTCTGAAGATAAAAAATGCAAAAAAAAAAAAAAAAAGGTGCTGCCTTCTACCTGCAGAAGGTACTCATTGGTGAACATTCATAGGACAGTTAATATTATACTCTGGACCCCTTCCAAGAAGCCTACTAATACCAGAAATGAAAGATCCCATGAACATAAAAAAGGAATGAAGACCTGGCCGGTTTGGCTCAGCAGTTAGAGTGTCAGCCCGCAGACCAATGAGTCACGGGTTTGATTCCGGTTAAGGGCATGTACCTAAGTTGCGGTTCATCCCCGGCCTTGGTCAGGGTCATGTGGGAGGTAACCAGTCAATGTGTCCCTCTCATGTCAGTGTTTCTCTCTCCCTTCCTCCTTCCCTCCCTCTCTCCCACTCTATCTGTAGATAAATAGAAAAATATCCTTGGGTGAGGATTAAAAAAAAAAAAGGAACGAAATATTATGAACAACTCTACGCCCACAATCTGGTAATTTAAATGAAATGAACTAATTTTTTGAATAGCACAAAGGTATATCCGAACATATTCCGAGTTTGGTTCCAGACCACCACAATAAAGCTATTATTGCAATAAAGCTATTATTGCAATAAAGGGAGTCACACAAATGTTTTAGTTTCCCACTGCTGGTTTTTGCAAATAAAGTTTTATTGAAACAGCCAAATGTTACAAATATCTAGGAATAAACTTTAAAATATAATAACTACTGTGTGTGAAAAAAACCTCACAACTATACAGTTAGACATAAAAGACCTAATTAGTATTATATATTTTATTCATTTTTTAAAAATACATTTTTATTGATTTTTTAGAGATAGAGAGAGAGAGAAACAGAAACACCAATGAGAGAAACATCCATGGGCTACCTCCTGCACATCCTCTACTGAGTGCACACCCCGGGCATGTGCCCCGACTGGGAATGGAACTGGGACCTCTCAGTCCATGGGATCATGCTCAATCCACTGAGCCACACCAGCTGGGAAGGAACATTTATTTATTTATATTGTTGAAAGTATTAACAGATGCCCCTCTTTTTTGCCCATTAACCCCCTCCTCCTCACTCCAACTTCCCTCCTGCTTTCCCCAACCTAATGTCTGTGTCCATTGGTTGTGCATATAAGAAAAGTTTATTTTTTGGGAGAGGGGGATCATTTTCATTTTTAAAAAGAAGAATGTACAATTGTACACCTGAAACTAATATAATATTGTATGTCAACTGTTATAGAAAAAATTTTTGTTTGCATTTATCTTCAGACAGAGTGGCGGGGGGGAGAGAAACATCGATGTAAGAGAGACACATTGACTGGTTGCCACCCACACAACCCCAACCAGGGCCAGGACAGACTTTAACCATGGTACGTGCCCTTAGTGGGAACTGAACCCCGAAACTCTCTGGTCCATGGCCTGATGCTCTAACCGCTGAGCCAAACCGGCCAGGGTGAAAAAATTTTTAAATTAAAATAAAAATTATACCATTGAGCCCAGCCAGTGTGGCTCAATGGATTGAGCACCATCCCATGGACTGAATTTGATTCCTGGTCAGGGCACATGGACGGGTTTTGGGCTCAATCCCCAGTAGGGGGCATGCAGGAGGCAACCCATCAATGTTTCTCTTTCTCTCTCTCTTTAAAAAATCAATTAAAACACATATATATAAATGTAAATAAATATATAAATAAATGTCAAGGCCAGGTAGTTCGTTTGTTAGAGAGTTGTCCTCCTTATGGCCAAGGTTGCCAATCCATCAGGGGTCAGGGCACATACAAAAATCAAACAATGGATGCATAAATGGATGAAGCAACAAGTTGATGTTTTCTCTCTTTTTAAAATAAATAAATAAATAATAGAATTTTTAAAAATAAAATAAACCTCAAGAAAAAAAAAGTTGGGACCTGAACACAGGGAGGCGGGCCTTGCAAAGGATACTGAGGACTACGCTTCCCAAGAGGCTCTGCGCTGAATGTTCACAGCCTCCCAATAGGCTTCGCGCGCTTTTCGCGCCAGCTCTGGCCTTAGCCAGCAAGCCACGGAATCGCGGAAGAGGATGGACAGCGAGAAGGAAGACATCGGGAAGAACCGCATCCACCTGCGCCCGGTCACTCTGCTCAACGTCACCCCTGTCACGCTGCACCTTCTGCCCTGTGAGGTCCGGGTTAACCGGCCCGCTCCGGTGGCGCGCTTCTTCACCCCGGCCATCCGTCAGGGTCCCGATGGTGAGCGCTCGCAGCCGGACTACGGCTCCCGTGAGCCCCCGCGCCGGCGCCACGCTCTCATGGCGAGGACGGGCGCGAGGGCTCCTGGGAATCGTGGTCCGCCGGAGGCGGCGGGAGGGCCGCCACTGGGCTTGCCCCGTTGGGCCAGGAGCAGGCCCTCACTGAAGTCCTGCGCCTACCTCCTTCAGGACTCGAAGTGTCGTTTCGGGGCCGCAGCCTACGGGGCGAGGAGGTGGAGGTTCCACCCGGCCTCGTGGGATACGTGATGGTGACGGAAGAGAAGGGAGAGGTGTCGATAGGGAAGCAGGACTTCTCAGAGGGTTCACACAGTGACGAGCCGGAGCAGGAACTGGTGGAACCCCCGGAGGCGCTGGAGCGGGACTTCGTGAGCACAGGGGGATAGGGTTGGCAGGGGGTGTGGCGGGACCGGTGGGACCGGTGGGACCTGCGGCCCCGGTGCTGAATCCGGCGCTTTCCCCAGGACCGCTTTATCAGCGCCTCCGCCAGCTTCAGCCGCTTCACCCTGTGGGGCCTGGAGACCATCCCTGGCCCGGATGCCAAAGTACGAGCGGCCCTAACCTGGCCCAGTCTCGCCGCAGCGGTGAGTAGATAGGCCCCCTTCTTCCCAGGCTTATGCTTTCCCCCTTCTGGCTTCAAAGTTATTTACTGGGTTGTCCAGAACCTTGCCCGTAAGTGGATTTGGGGCTTTAGGGTTGCAGAACACAGTGGGGCTGGTGGAGCCTGGCTCTAACTGGAAAGTTAGGCTGGGTAGGGCAGAGTGGCTCCCCCCCCACTCTTCTCTGGCCTGTCGGAAGGGGCTATCATCCTGAGCAGCTGGGGCCCTCCCCGAGTATGTGTACCACCCAGCCACTCCATCTCAGAATTCCAGTAGTAAGGGTGACTCCTGTTGCAGATTCATGCACAGGTGCCGGAGGACTGAGAACCAGAGCTTGAAATCGAAAGCCACTGATCTCTTCACCCCAATAAACCAGCTCTTCACTTTGGACCAGTTGATTCCATCACCCCAATAAATGGGCTCTTCACAGCACCCGTGAGTTTGCCCACACCTTGAAACCCCTAAGCCGGCACTGCTCTTTCCCAACAAGAACCTTTCATGGCTCTGGCCTATAGAAACAATTTATTGCCAGGGGGCAGCCAGGCCAAGAGAGGCCAGAATTTCGCAGCCAGTGCCCACCCCAACCCCAACCCCTACTTTACAAAAGAAATTTTTTACAGCCATCAGCCCTCTGTACAGAGTGCCCCCGCCCCCACCCCACTGTACACATCTGCTTGGCTTCCTCTGGTCCCTGGTTCACAGCAAGCCTGGGCCTGCAGCCAGCTGACCTTAGAGTTGACCTGAGCCCTGAGCTCACTTTGGTGCTGGGCACCAACTGGCCCCTACCAGGCCCTACCAGGCCAGTCCTCTCCTTGTGGAACTGTCCTCAGTCTGGTCCGTCTCCCTTAGCGACCCCCTTAGGGGCCCTGGTGGGGGCAGGGTGGGCTGTCAGCTCCAGTTCTGCTGGCTTTGTTGGTACTACCATGGGCTGTGCCTGGTCACCACTTTCCCCTCTTGCTCCAGTCTTTGGGAGTGAAGTGCAGACACTTGGAGTCAATGCGGAGCAGTCGCTTAAGCATAGCCCGTTCGTGCCCATCCACGATGTCCTCTGACAATGTGAGGATATACTGGCCCTGGGCAGAAGATGGGACAAGGCAGGTTAGCCCATGGGGCCTACACTGCACACCTCCACACACCCATCTCCCCCTGCCCACCTTCCTACCTTGTAGTAGTTGATGAGGTTGAGGTACTGTAGAGTGGAAATGACATCCTCCTTCTTGATGCTGGTAATTTCACTAATCTCACTGTGGGAGGACAAAGATCAGTCCCCTGGGGGCCTTCCTCTTTGCCCCTTGCCCCCAAGGAGCCCCAGGGTGAGAAAGCCTGGGAACAGGTCATGCCATGCATCCCCAGGTAGGTGGGGCCAGGCTCACTTGATGGTGATCTGTGGCCTTTCCCCACTCTCAGACTTCAGCCCCATCAGGATCTCCAGGATGGTCTGGGACCAGTAGCTTCGGTAGGACAGGAGGCCAAGATCCGAGAGGGGCTTCTCGGGGGTCCCTGTTTTCCCTTCCACTTTGGAGAGTTCATAGCCTGAAGTAATGGAGAGAGAGGGGATGGGTAATGGGTCACAGCTTCACATAACCAATGCTGTGAAAGAGCACAGGTTGCAGAGGCAGACTGCCTGCTTCCCACCCTGACCCTGCTGTGTGGTAGTTCTGTGACCTGGGGTGTGTGGCACGTCTGTTCTGTGCCTCAGCTTCCTCATAAAGGACTAATGAGCATTCACTCTTCACCTGTGTGCCAAGTGCAGCGGAGGGTACTGAGGGCACAGAGAAGTGGCTACAATCAGCTGGAAGGGGTGCTCATGAGCCAGTGAGGGCTTAGAGGCGGGGCAGGGAGAGAAGAGAAAATGACTTCTAGAAAGCACCTCCAATTTTCCTGTCATCTCACACTCTCTGTACTTGGGTATGTGAGGAGGGAAGGGGGGCAGACCCCACCTCTGATCCAGGCTTGAGATGCTTTCCTTAGCTGTGACCTGAGGAACATCAGCAGCTCTAAGACCAGGCTGGCCTGATCAGGTTGTTGTGAGGCTGCCAAGAAGAGCGCCAAAGAGCTTCCCAAGTTAGAGGGAAGAGTTTCTCCCTCTCGAAGCTCCCTCCCTCCCACTGGTTGCTCCGCCCTCCTCTTGCCTGCTGACCACTGGGCAATTCCTGGTGGGACCTCCGGTGCTGCAGAACCCTACGTGGCTGAGCAGAGTCTTCATTCGCTGTACTAGGGCCCTGGGATGACTCCACCACTTGCAGAAGTCCTTCCTCACCCTCAGTCATAACTGCTTCATGTTGCACCATAGGCCATTCTGCTGTCCTCTCCTTGGATTGCCTTCATCAGCCAGTCTAGCCTCTTGCCCAATCTCATGACTTCCACCAACAAACCAAGTGGTGAGAGTGGTGAGAGGGATAGAGAGGCTGGTGCTCTGGAGAGAGGAAGCTCAGAAGAGGACAGGGACACACTGGGTTCCAACTTAACCTTGCTGGGTCTGTGGTGCATATAGAGTCCTGACAGATCAACTGGACACCACACTGGCTTCCTCAGCTGTAGGGAACTCTAGCCCCTCCTAACACCCACCTACCCTGTCTGCCAAACTGAGCATATCTCTGGTGACCCTGCCTGCATTCCCTCTCCAATGAGGTCTGAGTTCCAAGGCATTAAGCATCTGCCTGCTTACCAGGCTGAGGGCTTCCTAAAGATGTAACCCATCTTGGCATTGTTCTACCAATAAAATTTCTCAAATGGACCATAACTTGATCAAATGAAGCCTCTATCTTTACCAGACAGCTAAGACTCCTTCTCCGTCTTCCAGCTCAGAACTTTGGAATAGAGTGGGAGGCTGGGAAACAAGGAAGACTTGAGGTTGGGGGGACACTGAAGAGTTCGTGAAGGATGAGGAGCAGAGTCCCTTCTGACCTTCAAGAGACTGACCTGACAGAATGCAAGGAATATAGGCCATATCCAGGCAAGTTAGTGCTACATCTCTTTGCTGAGTTAACAGCATTTTTTTTTTTATCCTCACCTGAGGACATTTTTCCATTTTTTGTTCAGATAGAGTGGGAGGAAGGGGGAGAGAGAAACATCGACATGAAAGGGACACATCGAGTGGTTGCTACCCACATAACCCAACCAGGGCCGGGGACAAACTGCAACCGAGGTGCGTGCCCTTAGCGGGAACCGAACCCGGTCTCTCTGGACTGCAGGCCGACGCTCTAACTGCTGAGCCAAACTGGCCAGGGCATTAACAGAATTTTTAACATCTATTGCCTACCAAGCTCAGGAAACAACTGGCCCTCAACCAGGAACTTACATGACAACACAGTAGAAGAGGGATAAGCAACAGTGGCTCATTTGGCTTCAGCTCATGGCCGTGGGCAGGAGGTGAGTCAAATGTGGGGAAAGTTGGGTGATGCTTAGAATCTTGAACAAGGAACAGTGAGGGGCTGAGAACCTAATCCAGACAAGCAGGGCAGTTCCCCTGAGAAAGGAAAAATCTTGGAAGAGTTCCATCTGGGCTTTGGGCCAAGGTGACTGGGCTGCATAGCCAGAGCTGAGAATCACCGCAACCCAGCATACCTGTGTGTGAGGCCCCGATGGGAGCACCAGCACTGGGTCTGCGCCTGCCACTTACCCACCCCCAGTCCCTGGGCCCGAGCCGGCGTAAGTACTCACTGAATTCAATCAGCAGCTTGCCGTAGCCTCGACGCTGGTAGGGAGGCAGGGTCAGGATGCACGCCACATTATAGTCTTCTGTTGATTCCTTCTCCTGGAAACAGCATGTGAGTGTGAGGGAAGGCACCTGGCCCAGCACAGGGCTGAGAAATGGGCTGGATAAGCGCTTACCTTAGAGAAGTAACCCACGATGTGAAAGCCCTTACAGTCATACTCCGTCATGACATAGAAGAGGAAAGGGTCTGTATCATAGTATAACGTCTTGTGGTCGAGGAAACACTTGGCCAGAAGACACAAGTTCTGGGAATAACTCTGCAAAGGAAAAGGCCTGTCACTGCTCTGGGTACCCTGCCTCAAGCATGGCCACTGGGCCAGGGTCATCCAGGAGCCTCTCTGCAGCCCAGGCTGAGAGGTGATGAGCATTCCTTCCTGAGGCCTGACCCATTCCATCAATCAGCCTGTCCCTGCCGCTCAAGGCATCTTCGAAGTGTCAAGCCCATGGACCAGCCCATTAGAAAACTTGCCTCCTGGTGAGTTGGGCAGGTTGACCGCTGCTCTCCATGCCTCCACCTAAGTCGGCCCTGGGGGCCTCCACTGCCCTCTACTATAGTTAGCAACAGTCAGCAAACTGACATGTACCTAGAAGGCTTATGAGAGAAGCTCTTCCCAAGTGGCAGTCTTAGTCTGGCTGTCAAAAAATACAACTCTTCTGCCTATAGTCATACCTCTTGGGAACTGGGCTGGTAATCTACAACTGAAGTAAGGAATTCTGGAATTTAAATATCAGTCATAGGAGCCTTTATCCTCCAAAAATACTATTAATCTTGCTATTTTACCTCTGTACACATTTAACCTGCATTTCAGCCTGACTTTCTAACTACATGCTTGGCACTGCCATCTGGATGCCAAGTCCACAATTAATACAGAATTGTGAGTGGTTAAAGCAGCACCCTTCCTCTCAAGTTCCCCTAGCATCCAAGCCAGAGCTCTCCTGCCGGTCAAGGTGCCTGCCTCTCCCTCACCACCCTCGAGGCCCCGGGATTGGGGAGAATCTCACAATGGTTCCTCCAGGTTACTCCTTCCTCCCTACAGCCACAGACTAAAGCAGGTTTAAAGCTCCAAAATTATGGTGTCCCCAACTCCTGCCCAACTGACCTCAATCCCACCTCCCTTATAAGGGAGCTCTGTCCCTTATAACAGTCTTTCCTCATCCTCTCTGCCCTTCAGCCAGAGGATCTTTGCCTTTCACACACACTACTCTGTATATCCATGCCTGCCCTTCAGAACCCCACTGCTTGGGAGTCCCTTACCCACCCTGTCCTTCATGTCAAGGCTCAAAAATCACCTCTTCTGTGAAGCTTTGCTGATTACCTCCTCTGGGCCCTAATAATCCACCCTTTGCTTCATGACACTTAAAATACTGGGATCTAAAGTGGCCATTGGTGTGTCTGTTTTCCCCATGAACTAAGCTCTCAGAGAGCAGAAATTTTGTCTAATTCCGGGTTCTATTTATATTTCCCAGCATCTTCCCTTCAGCAGGAACTCAAAAAAATGGGGTGAACCAACTTGTTGGCCAGACTGGTCAGTGTTTTCCTGAGTGGGAAGAAGCAGCTCATTTGATTTTCTCCAGACTCCAAGTTCCAAGGACTCCCTACTGTCCCTCAGCCACTGACCTTATTCTTACGTCCATCAATCTCAAAGAAGGAGATGGTGCCCTTGCGGTAA